GGCAACCGGAGCGTTTTCCCTCCCGAACTGCTTGTACTGCCCCCCGCCCCTCCTCCCATGGGCTTCTGCCGCCGCCCCCTCTCCCTTCTGTGTGTGTTTTCAGAGCAAACCTCCATTTCCTTCCCTGTGACCTTTCTTCCTCCTGCCTTGAATTCCCACTCCTGCCCTGCTTTCTCCGCTGGGCAAAAACACTGGAAGAGAGTTGAAAAGGATTATAACGCAGAGTCATTCCTTTCAGGTTACAACACGCTGTCCTGGACTAAGAAAGAGGCAAAAGCGAGGCCAAAGCAAGAGGCAGCAGAGCCAGGGACCCCCACGCTGCCGCCCCCCGAAACCCGAGGATTATTCTCCCTCAGCAGCTGCGCCCGCAGCCCAATTCTACACTCCCCCCTGCCGGGAAGCTGAGGGCAGCGGTCCTGCCTGTCAGCGCTGGGCATCTCACCTTCCTTAACTGCCCTTCTTTATGAGAATGGGACAGCAGCGACCACCGCCCCCACGGCTGCCCGGAGTGGCAGGAGGCAGGACGGCCGGGGCACGGAGCTGAGGTGAGTCGAGGCAGGAGGAGGAATGTCAGAGCAGCACAGTGACAGGCAGGAGCTCGGTGCTCAGCCACGCAAGAGCATATGCGGTCAAGCCAGGTTCTGCACCAGGTGTAAGCGCATCATAAAGAGGTGGCATCGCAGTAAATAGCACGGGGAGCTGCTGCGCATTGTGGTTCTCGAAGACGAAAAGCACACACACACACAATCTTTGTTCTTAAAATCTAACCGTTATTCAGATGAACACGTCGCTTGCTCTGGCACCGGCCGGGACACCTGACGGCTCCGTTCCCGCTCCCGGGAGCGCCCAGCCCGCCGGGACGGAGCGCAGCGCTCGGGCCCCGCAGCCGCTGCCCGAGCCCCCGGACCCCGCCCCGCAAGGGCAGCTCCGGCCTTGCTTAACTGCATCCGTTAGGGGACAGATGAAGGAAATTCAGGTTCTCTCAGTTGGTTGCTACGTTATATAAACACAAAGTGCCGGTTCAACAAGCTGAAGCTGGGAGCACTCAAGGGCGCTTTAAGGGCACGGTATTGCACCTGGAAACGTGTGTCAACCTGGAGGAGAAAGCGGCTGGGGAGTTGTGCACCGCCCAGCTGGCACTGCAGTCGAGCACTAGAGGCAAGGCAGAGTATCACCTCCAAGCATCCACTAAAGCCTCTAGCAGTTGCTCAAACAGCACACAATTAGCTTATGAAACTCTACTTCAAGGTATCTTAAGGACCACAACTGGGATGGGTAAAGAAAATGAGAACATGTGATTTACAGAGAGAAAATTCAGTACAATAATATGATGTTTCAAAGTGGTTTTTTTTCAGAAGTCATAAATCCCTACATTCCAGGTTGCAGCCAGTCTCTCTACAGTTATTTCAGTTAGACCAAGCTGTCCCTGCTGGCATGGTATTTCACAGCTTATTGTGTCAGTCAGTATTTCTGTGGGAATTTATGGCACTGGGTATATGTATTACATCATTATGTAGTAGACACCCAGTACCATTATAGACTAATTTCCTGGATCAGTACATATGTTTCATTTTTCTCTTGCCATTACCATTGTCCAGAAATGCTGAGAGATTTGGTGTAGAAGTCACACGTGGAGCATTCACCAGCCCAACACCAGCCAAGGCATGGCTGCTTTAAGCTGATGACTACAAGGGCAGTTCTATCCAGTTTGTGGGTTCAGGCAATGTGGTGAGGTATGATAGTAGCTTCATAAATACAACACTGTTTTCATATGCTAAGTCTGTTTTGGTCAGTCTCTCCACTACTTTTAGAAATACAGCGAACTAACACAAAGATAAAAGCATTTTAGAAGTATGTGTGCTAGAAGTCATTATCCAACACAGCTGGAAAAGTTTTTGTCCTTCTCCTTGCAAACCTTTCATTTGTATCCTTCTATTGTTTGGCTATGAAAACACTTCTATGACAAATATTGAAGATTAATTCAAAAGAGAAGACTTAAATAAAGCGCAGACATTTTCTGTATCACATTGAAGAAGCTAAATCCCAACGAAGGAAATCCTGATCTGCATGTCTGAAGTCCCCATCTCTTGTACACATTTATTAGAATGGTTGATTTGACTGGAATAGTCCTTCAGAGAAATAATATTTTAATTTATTGATGACTTTTCCAGGTTCATTTGGGAAATCAGGCAGAGAAGGTCAATATCCACTTCCTTAGTCTTACCTCACTTAGAAGCTTCTTGGCATTGCTCAGGACTGCGGCAGATGGTTCACCTCTGAGTGAGGTGAGCTCTTTCATATCAGGGGACAGATTTTTTTCTTCTTTCAGAAAACCATATAATCATGTTGGAAGGAACCCATAAGGATCATCTAGTCCAGTGCCCTGCTCCTCAGAGGACTACCTAAAACTAAGCCAGTTCCAGTGACCAACCACCCTCTTGGTGAAATATCTTTTCCTAATGTCCAATCTGAACTTCACCTGACAGAACTCAATACCATTTCTTTCTGTCTTATCACTGGTCACCAGAGAGAGGAGATCAGCACTTCCCCCTCGAGGAAGTTGTAGACTGTGATGAGGTCACCCTCAGCCTTCTCCAAGCTGAAACAAACCAAGTGACCTTAGCCACTTCTTGAGAACTTTCACTGTCTTGGTGGCTCTCCTATGGACATACTCTAACAGTTTGATGTCCTTCCTACATTGAGGTGCCCAAATAGACTGGTATTTGCAAATGAAGGCCAACTTTTCAGCATTCATTCCCTTGCCAGTTGACAATCTATTCTATTACACTTGATTCAATTCCTTTTTAAATGAGAAGAAACAGCTCTTCCTTACCTTGCAACGTCTTCATGACTTGCTGAACATAACAGGCACATTCTATGACTATCTGAACCACAACTGCAAAAAATGAAGCCTGAAAAATATATGCCAGTATTCCAAAGGATCAGGAGAAAGTTTCTAAAAAGTGATTTATAAGTAGATATCAAGCTTTTGATTTAACATAGATATTCCAAAGATTATTTTTGAAACATAATGAATTAGGAGTCATAAAATAACACTTCAATTTAACATCTAAGATCTACTTCTCTCCTTCCCTCAGAAAATAAGAAAGATACATGACTGAACAGCCCTGTGACATTGTGCTTCTGATGTATTCAGGATATTCTTGAAGATTACTGTAGTGCTTACAGCAAAGCATAAGAGGTACAACTGAGGGGTAAGTACCAGTGACTGCAATCATGATTCACAGTTTTAAACTGTCTAAAGTTCTGAAAAAATTGACCTACTTTAAAATACTGAAAGAGTAACACATTATATGCTAAAAAAAGATGGAAATTTCTTTGTATTTTTTTTTTATGAAATCTGAATGTTCAGCTTTGAGGAATACACAATGGAGTCTTGTGTATGCACAGACGTGATGGAAAATAACACTGACTCCAGTTACAGAACATTACAGCAACTTAATACTATGGAAAGTATAACTCTTCTCCTCACACAAAACAATTTGTTTTCTCAAATAGGTTGTAACTGAAATCTAGGACAGTTACTAACAAATATATTCTCAGTGGTCAATATTCAATCATTATTGATTAAGTTTATGGAAAAACACATTAAGACTTTTTCCTGATAAAAGGCAGATCTCTGCATAGTTGCAATTGTCTCTATTCATCTGGCCACCTCTTACCATAAGTGTACTGTCCTAAATGTTTCCATGAAAAAAAATCTTTAAATTCTGATTATGTGGTAATTTTCTTGTATCAGTACCTGTTACATGTCCAATTCCAGCCAGCAGCACATTTTGAGTATATGTACACTTACTTTTTGACTGATATGCGTAAAGACATTTGACTTTGCTGGTTATTTAGTTCTCAGCATGAATACATTGAAATAGGAAGCATGTGCATTTGTAGTCTAAATAAAAAGCATATCATACAGAATTAGTTTTGACAATAAATCTGAGGTAGAGCCTCATCTGGAGCTGTACACCAGCAATCCCCAGCAAGGACATGGCAAGGTTTAGAGAAAGACAGTGACAGAAACTAGAAAGATAAGGATTTTTAAGGACAGCGATGAACAGAACAAAAAGACACATAGATGGTATAGGCAAAGTAAGGGGGTGCTTTCTGTTCTCCTGGCCACCTGGTGTGTGAAAAGAAGGGCATTCAATTGAATTAAAACATAGCAAGTTCAAAGATAAGAAGAAATATGCTTTAATTCAACACGTAATTAGACTATGAAGTTTTTACTTAGGCTGTTGATGACATTTTTCAACATTTTTGGGGTCAGGAGGGACAGAATGTTCTTGTGGACTGGAAAAAACATCCAGATCTGCAGCAATGATCTACTGGTTTTGGATGATGGACGAAGTACATCATCTTTGTCCATTTTTTAAAATTCCAAATTTACAAATAGGATTTTTTGGTCAGGGGTTTTGCCCCATATCTAGTCAGTGCACAGGATCCATTTTGCACTTCTCTGCTTACCACTTCTGAAATTAGGAGATTGGGCTGGGTAGCTACTCAAATGATTTAGTATTGGCAGTTTCTCAGAAAATCTGGTAACATAAAGAAAGCAAAGGTTTGAATTTATCATATTAAAAAAAAAAATATAAAAATTATCTGGCTCAGTGGCCAGTGGTTTGGAAGGCAGGGTATCAGTAGAGTAAAAAACATTCAGACATCTCATTCATGTTTTATAACATGCAAAACTTGCATTCACTTAGGAGCTTCCAGGTTACATCTTCTGTAGTAAGCCCTGAAGTATGACAGGGAAAGTAGTTGTTACTACTACTACCCTCAAAAACAAGATAAATACCTACTCAGCTAAACTAACCTGAATGCAAGGTACAGAACAAGATTCGTGCACCTTTCTGTGACCAGAAGGCTCTTTCCTTTTCCAAAGGTCGGTGAAACTTCCCAGGCTCAATTACTCTGCTTGAAAACCTTGTACCTGAAAGATGAACCCGATGTGACATCTGCTGGTGTGCCTGCACCTGAAATGTGTGAGACCCAGATCCCAATTCCTACTCTGCCTGGTGGTTTGAACCACAGAAGTGACTACCATCATTTGGCAACTGACTTCCGTGTGTGGCTCTCAATGTCTATTCAGCTGGAGTGCCATGTTGCAAAACTGTTCTGAAGGTGACAGAGGAAGCCTGGTTTTTAAAGCCCAGCTATATACATACTTAAAGAATACTGGAGACACTGAATCTTGCAGTGAGATCCCCATCAGCTAAAAAAGAAGTAATTTAAAAAACATGGATTAAGTTGGGTAACTACCTGAATCTAGACCTGCTTAATCTCAAAGAAAATTGGCCCCCCACCCAAACAGCTGCATTGCATCCCCAATCTTTTTATATCTGAGATGCTCAGCATTTATTTTCAATAGCTGTATTCCCTAAAAGAAATACACTATTAAATATCAGAAGCCAATAAGTAACATTTAATATTTTTACCATGTATTCTGTAATCTCAGATTGCTTTCAGAGATATTGAAGTGGTTAATCAACTCAGTTCACACTTACCTTCACTCTGCTAAAGGCATCAGTCGTGACTACTACTGGCAGTATTACCAATGGTATTTACCTTTATTCATGCTTGCATTTGACAACAAAAAAACAATCTCCTTACACAGTCCAGAGGACTAGGTATGCTAAGAATTACATTCTGACACTCAGTTTCCAGTCTGCCTCCATACATTTAAGTAAGCAATACAATTGCTCTAGATTGTTTGACTGCTGCAATTTCTCCTCGTTTGTCTTCAAGTGGGGATTAGAGGCATGTGGTCACAGCTACATCTGAATGGCAGTAAGCACTTAACAGAAAATAGCTTACTTTTCAGAAAATTATTTTCATGATGGAACACAACAGAAAAAACAAGGGATAAAGAGGACTCTGTCTCCTGCCATGATGCAAGTAACATGCAAATTACTTACTCACCCAGGAACACTATGAATGCTTGTTCTCATTTATTTATAGTTTCATTCTACACTTTACTATTTCAATAATTTTCTGCAATTCTTAATATAATTGCATGTTTTAAAAAACTTAGATATGGAACATCTACATGATTAAACTAGGGCAGGGAAGTCACTTCCACTTTTGGGTAGACTCAGCAAAAGACCAAGACAGACTATAACTTGATGCTACTGTATTGCCTATCAATGTGATCAAAAAGCCCAGCATGGGCAGCTTTTACCACCCCTTGGTATTTACCTGCCAGTGGCCCAGGGGTCACACAGATCACAGAGCTCAGTGATTCTCCATCTGGGGAACACAGGGAGCATCATATTTTCACCGTGTCCACACACACCACTGTAACTACACCAGTTAGAGCAGCTACCGATTTTTCATCGCCTCTGCCCTCAGAGACTGCCATGAGAGAGATTCATAGATACCATCACCAGTTACATAGCTGAGTCTTTCAGAGTGCAGGATGAAAGTACACACAGCCTCCATGGGCGTGTGTCATAGAGTTAACATAGAACAATGATAGCATGCATGAATAACTGAAGTGTGGTCTTCTGTTGCAAGCTTGAGGTGGAGCATGGGTTTCATCATCTAATGCCCTTGAAAGACAGCACAGATGCTCCCATGCTCAGCAATCCTCAGGCTGTAACTAACTGACCCAACTCCAAAGAGGAAGAAGGCTTCTCAAGTCACCTACCTGTTGCTTAGCCAAGTGTTCTGTAGTGGGATATTGAACAAGAGAGATTACTGCTTGAAGATCCTGCTGCCTAGTGTAGGGCTTACCTGAATGCATGTTACTTAAAAATTATTGCTGACCTTCATTATGTGTGTATAGTTTTGGAGTCACTAATCCCCACTATTATCATCTACACACAAGTATGTATATGCACACCCCTTTGCATATGGACATGCACACACAGAAGCATTCCTGACCCTTGGGAACTCAATCCTCTCAGCCACACTACTTACCTGAAAAGTTTCTGTTCCAGATAAAACATACTGCAGGGCAAAGTCATATGCAGTGGTTGGGCATCCACTGCAAAGATACCAAACCAAACCAGGTGTAGGTGTAACTGAAGTAAACACTACTTCTTCTAATGCCTTATTCCTAAAAGCAGGTTTCAACACCTTTTGGTGTTGCTGCTACCATCCCAACTTTGCATTGAGTAGATACTTTCCATCTTAAAAGTCCTTACTGAAGATGATTTTAGTCTCTCCCCTGGTGATGAAACAAAGCAGTTACAACTCACACTGCAGCACCAAACCAGGATAGCATCTGCACAGGCTTTCAGTAATGGTACACGTGTGTGCAGGCACATGCCTTCTAATTTAACATTTTAAAGATTACACTAAAATATTTTGCTTCTCCAGAAATGTGCTTGTCACACCTATAAGAAAGCAACAGTAATGATCACTGGGTGCAAGATCATCACTCAAGTAAGAATTACTTTGATAACATAAAAGTCTAGCGGATTTTTTTTTTCAAAGTTCAAATTGAACTAGTCTCTTATACACAAATGTTAAAGCTTTCACTTTTGTTGTAGGAGTAAAGAATTGGGTGCTTGATTAAATTTTGAATTCCACACTGTGTACAGGTATATGCTACAGACAGTATGAGCATGCACCTTCAAATTTCTCTACCCATCACAAAAATGTAAAATCAAATATAATCAATCATAGAATATAAAAACTACCTACACCAGGCTTCTCAAAGTCAGAAAGCAGACCCATCAAAAAATGAAGTGCATGAGAAAAAATATGAGCACCCATGAAGAGTTCAAACTATAATTATATAATACATAATTATCACAAAGATACACTAGCTGATAAAACACTTCTCACGCTAAACATTTATTCTGGCGACTCACTTTCTTCTTGGGGAAGAAGTCTGAAAGACAGACATTTTCTAATAACTAGCCTTCTGTATCTACTGATTTTTTTTTCAAATAGTAATAGAATTCCTCTTACAGTTTTGTAAAAACCTTTTTTAAAAAAAAAAGCTTGAAAGAGAAATGTACTAAAATTGCACACAGTGAGCTGAATAAATCTGTTCTAGAAATAGCCAATAGGCTTATTGTAGCTTGTGTCATAATCCAAACATACTACATACAAAGGGGATTCCTAGCATGCACTACTGTGACTAGTCACCTGTACACAAAATCTGCAGCATGACTAAAAGCACTTACTGCAACCAGTAGCAGTGATTCTATCTTATTCTGCACTACAATGAGTAGTCCTCATGTTTTATGAAAAACCTCTGAAATTTTTCCCCTAAGATTCTACAGCCAGATTCCAATAGGTCTAAATCTCCCCCTTGCAGTGCCCATTGAGCCAACACATTCTAATCTCATCTAATCATACAATATGCAAGACATAAACATTGGTTATCTGATGAGTAGATTTACTAATGTTGACTACCTCTTTCCTTAACAACTGCAGTAATCTTTACGTATATAAATAACCATGCATATACATTCCAGTCAGAAGGAGGCCTGACTACACTGACTAAGATAGTATCTGTCTCAGGGATTGTGAGGAGGGAGATGTCAGCAAGAGATACCTACTGACAGATCACTGCAATGTGTTGGGGGAGAAGGCAAGTTTGTCTTACACTTAAGCTAAAAAAACCCCACAAACTAAAACATCAATAGATAAATAAAAAACCTCAGAACATTCTCAAGAGAAGAAAAATGGACACACATTTGTTCCTGAAATAGATTGCAATCATCAAACCAGGGAGCATTCCTTCTATCATTAAAGTGTCACTCAAAATGAAGAACAAAATAATTGCTTTAGTGTTCTACTTTAGAACCCTATTCCTAAAACACTACATATTGGTAAATTATAGGCACTAAATCTATATACATACATATTCGAGATCAACTCATTTTTAAAGTGTGAATTTTTCTCATTTATGTAATGGGTTTCTATGTCATTTTCTTGATGTGCATCCAGGTCAGAAGGAATTTTAAATCAAGCCAGAAGTGACCAGATGAAGACCAAAAGCAGCTCTTACAGGACTAAACAGGCAATTGTATGAATAGCAGAATAAGGAGTATCACCTTTAAGGTGACAGCAATGCCCGAAGCAGCTACTCTCATAATTAAGCTTCCAACTCATACATTCTTTGAAGTGATTATATGTAATTTTCCTCTCTCATTCCTGTACAGCAAGCTTTACCTACTCCTGAGAGAAAACATTCCATTAAGGACAGATAATAGTATGCAGCGACTGCAAGAACTTTAACCATAAGAACACTGGGAGAGTAGATTTGAACATACCACATGCGCTAGAGATAAAAAAGCAAACAAGTAATTTATGCAAAAACAAATCAGAGTAATTCCTACTGCTTTACTTCTCTTATATGACCTTAAGGCACTTACATTTATTAATAAAGCTTTGCAATTACATCCTGTAATTCTGTACTCATTCCCTGCACTCATTTACAGATAAGGAAATTCTTGGAGAGATTTGGGCTGGCAATAATTGAAAGTATTGAAAATTATTCCCAGTTCTCACATGTGTCTTTCACTCTGCCTCTGAGCCAGCTACTCAGACATTGGCTACTCTGAAAAAGAAAATCAAACAAATCAAACAAAATCAATTAAAAACCTATTGGTTGCTTTGTCGTCATCATTGTTGCCACTCTGTTGTTGTTGTGTTTGGTTGATTTAAAGAATAATTGAAGTATATATCTACTGCTTTCACACTGCACAAGACACACAATACAGCTACTTTTAGTCTAAAAATAAATCATATCAGAGTAACAAAAATAAAAGAAAATTTTAAAAAATTGAATACATGCTTTCTTAATCCTATAGGTTCCCCAAGACAATTTCAGCAGAAGAAATACTAGGGAAGCAAATAACTTGTTGTTGTTGTTGTTTTTTGCATTCTCTCATAAAGCAGCAGCAGAAGGAAGCAACCACACCTCCACAAAACAGCAGCTGTCTGTAAGTAATGGAATTCCATATTTACAATGGAACATCCAGTTATTTATAATGTGGTTATTTGGAATATAACATTATCAATGATTTTAGAAAATCATTCTACCCAAATGCAGCTACATCCCAAGTATTGGTTGCCTAGTAATTAATTTCGCCCCAAATCTGGGATCAGAGCTTCTACCCAGCTGTGATAACGTACTATCTTTGAAGAAAGAAAAAACAAAACACTGCCTTAGCCCAATTTTTTTTGTATTTACATAAACATTTTTGCATTGAAAAACTTAAGAACCAAACCACCTGTACATATAATACAGAAAAAGATTTCCATTAATAAAATCATAAATTTGAAAGTTTATTTGAAAACCATTAAATAAAGTACCATTAAAATCCAACAAATTGGGATGAGGATGAAGAGGAAAATAATGACCACAAATTTGTATTCTGCCCTTCCCATGTATCTTTTATGCTAGCTGAACCTTTGTTCTCACTGTAACTTGAAAAACCTCTGAATTCTGAGTTTCTCTCACTTGTCTGAAATAATTCCAGTAGGCTCTGCACTGGTGAACTACAAGAGCTTCTCCTCTCTTCAGGCACAGACAGTCCATCTGTATACTTTATACATAACTCCACATTCTGTTTCTGGGTTTCTCTTTTATGTCTTCCCAAGTAAAGCTTCACTTTTCTGCGCAGCTTTCCAGACGGTGAACTATGTGCAGTGCTGGCAGCTGATTCATTAAGTTCTTTGTTTATAGCAGTATCAGATATTTCAGCCTCCAGAACTACACTGTGCTGCATCTGTTGATGATTATCACATAAATCACAATGTTTCTTGACAAACGTAGGATTGGCATCTGTTTTTTTCAAACACTTTGCGGGTAGAACTACTGCATTATTTAATTTTCGTTTTGGCTGTGACAGGTTTTTGTCTTTTTCAGCAAGATCTGTAACTTGCATATGAGAATATGAAGTACACATGCGTTCCTGAGAACACTGTAAATTCTTGTTTACTTCTGGCTCCATGTAATTTTTGCCATCTTTCTGAGGGGGTGGTTGTATGAAAACTGATGATACAACAGTCTCTCTCAAGTTTGCAGCACAGCAGCAATCAGTATTTTCATCATTTCTGAACTTACTTTTTAGTTCTGAAGGTTGTGACAGGTGGCAATAAAGAACTGAACAGACAGATCCAGAAACAGTGGTAGGTATTGGCACAGAATTTGGCTGTATTTCTGCAGGCTGGCGATCCAGTTTGCGTGCCCGCATCGACGGATCTTTCCACGAGTAAGTCTTCAGGGAAATGCGTTGCCTTTTCAGTTGTTCCTTCAGCTCAACTGGTCTAGTTATCTTTCCAAGAACTGGAGAAAAATATCCTGCACTACATTTTGTCCTACAATTAAATTGTTTAAAATGATTAACAAACACTTGAAAGAAACACAGGCAACATAACTCCATATACAAAGGATTCTAGAAAAGCAATGAAACTGACAAGATATATTTAGGGCAGCAACATGCTATTTCTAGAGGGATGGAGTGCCTTGTATTTGATGTTTTCTATTTATTTCTACCAGATGCAAAATAGTTGGAACAAAAAAACGACGAAGCAAGCAGTCTGGTATTTCAGTAAATCTCAATTTACAGCGGTATTAAGAAAAAAGTTAATTAATATAATGCAATGCCTACCAAATACTTACAAGAATTTTATAGAGAAAAAACCAGCATAATTGTATATGCTTTTCTTGACATAGTATTTCAAACCCTAACCACTTTAGAGATTCAGAGTTTCAGAACAAAGTATCTTTATGTTTTAACCCTTGCGGTCTTTAAAATTTAGAACACGTAACATACCTTTTTATTTCTTTTGCATCATCTCTGTATGCAACAAACTCATACATCAACTTTGAGATTATATCATCAATAACTTGATACTGTGAGCTTCGTGCAAAATTTTGGTGCTGTTCACTTAGAAGATGCTGGAATTAAAGAAAAATCATAAAACAAATCTAATATTACAGATATGACTATGCAAGTCAACAGTATGATATGGAGCAGTAAGTAAATACCATCGATTTATTACCAGGGTCTCTGAGACATGAGCTATGCCTTCAGCTATCATACACAGAGGCAGCAATCAGGACTTAAAACCTGTAAGGGAAAAAATTCCCACTTGCTGCTTTTTAGGAGATGTATTCAGAAAATCTTTTAAGATAAAAAATACATTAAACTGGTAAGTAAAAAGCATTGTTGGTATTATACTTAAGACGTATGACTGTATCGACACGTATACTTGACATTTCACATACTGTTTGCAGATCTTCATATTTCTTCCCACAACATTCACAATATCCTCTCTTCTTTTTGTCTTTCTGAGGGAGCTGAGCAGGATTTCCACAGTCCTTGTCACTATTTATTTTGTTTCTATTAACAGAAAAGATGTGTTAATTATACTCAATTCTGGAGCTGAGCTCTGTACTTGCCTTTCATAGTGTGTTTATTCCTAGTCCTCTAACTGGAAAAAAAAAAAGTCTATTTCCCCTCCAACTATTTACATTGATAATCAACACTTGGGAAAAATGAGAAAAATTATGCATCAATTAAAGAAAACATTTACTGCAACAAGATAGGCAGACCCAGTGTAACTATAGGTAAGCATAAAACATCCAGGTTAGCACAGATGTACTAACATCACTGAGTCAGAATAAACAACGCAAAATTCCTAAACAGAAAAATCCTGACAAACCAACTATTGAAATCTCTATGAGTAGCCCACAGTTTATGTTAGAAGACTTTTTTCCTAGCTAAAAAACCACACAGCACAAACACTTGATCTAACAGATGACCTTTCATTCTTTGATGAAAGTAAAAAAACTCATTTGTTGGTTATACATAGCTTCTACATAAGCTAGCCAAATAATTTTTGTCCTATTTTTCTACGTACAGGCTAAGTGGAAATACAAGAAATGAACCTCAAGTTCTTTCTGGAGGTTAAAAGTTGAAGAAGTTTTCAGCAGCTGCTCCATGATCTTTGGAGTCCCCATCTGGAGAGAGCTACTGCTTGCTGAAATTCACTATTAACCCTCCTAGGGATGATATGCCAGCAGTAAAGCAAAGCCATCAATCTCTACTTATAACTTTACTTCAGAGAAATAGTGCCATCTCTCTGTCTAGCCAAAAATAATTCTGAAAAACCTTACCAAATATATGCATAGATGAAAGATCAGGACTCCACATCATAAAACTGACCCTGAAAAATCTCTAGCTGACAAAGCATAGCAATGTATATTGCTCAGCACAGCAAGTGTACTACTTTCAACAGTCACTTTCAATCTACAAGTCTAAGTCACTAACATCTGCCCCAGCATTTTCTGGGTCCCACAGGAGAGGCTCCACTTAACTGTGTACAGTTACTATTTCCTAGCTTTCTCATCTTCCCCTGTCAGAACTGTAAAAATCACAGAGAACCAACAGAGCAGGATATCGGCAACAGCATTTATCATCTGATGACCGAATGATGACATCTGCAGGTCTTGCCTGATGCAGAAGCAGAGTGGACAACTTAGCTTCAACAAGCTTTACTCCCAGATAAAGTCAAAACAAGTGAGCCCCCTTTGTTCTGAATCTGACATTCCTCACATTTACCTGCCAAGTATAAAATAATATCTCACTTAAGTACCACTTTGGCATGCACCAACCTGAAAGAGTATAATGGAATATTTATTAAAACCTAAGTTATGAAGTTTTTAGTATATCATGTTCCTTAATCCTCATAAATGAAAACAGTACTGCCTTTTTTAATGGTTTAAAAATAGGCCTTTCTAACTCCCTCTGAAGAGACACAATCAGAAGCTGCCTTATTATTTCAAGAGCTACTGCTATATTGGAGTTGCTTTGCTTTTTCATACTGCTACATTCATTGCAATTAAAATAATAATTAAAAATTAATCATGGCAACATCAGCTGAAAACCTTCAACAATATAACAAGGATGAAGATGAGAAAGAACCTAAACAGTGGAGAAGGTAAACCGGTTTTCTTCAAGTATCAAACATAAATAATTCTTAGACCCCAAGGACAGAAAAACAGTAAAAGTTACTAAATATAGAAAATTTCACATATAGCAAAGCCACTTTTCACCTAAATATCTTCCGTTTCTAACTTGAATCACTTTTAGAAGTCAATGAATCATTAACATTCCAGATATCCTAGGCAGAAGAAATTCAAAACAATATTTTGATTCACCAAAAAGGATAATTAACAACTCCAGAGTGCTAATAAAGCCTGAATGCCAACATTTATAGCACTGCAAGTGTTATCAGTAACTATTTTGCCCTATGATTGAATATCACTGTTTTAAAATTTTTAACTGCCTAGTTCAGCATTACACTGACATCAAAAGAAATCTTAAGAAATCCACCTCCTGTAAAATACTTACTGGATGGCATCCAAGATGAGGACAAAGAAACCAGTGGCAGAAAGGAAAAAAATATCTTATCCTGACCCACAGTAATAGGGGAAGACCACATTTTTGGATGCATCTGTATGTCCAAGAAAAAGGACTAAAGACAGGATAAAGAGAGCACAGAAAGACAGAAAGACACTAACAGTTACAGTGGAACAAATACATCAGCTGAGACAAAGCTATTAGTATTAAATATCACACAAAATTAGGAGCAAGTATTTTAGAAAACAATTACTTCAGAATTATTTTAGAGAATTGCCCTCACTGCAATAAGATGTTTTCAACAAACCTTTGCTTAGACAGAGGTTGCTTTTGAACAGAAGGATGCTTCTTATCCACCTCAAATGGACTATATGGCTTTGGAACACAGTAATTCAGAACTGGAAAACTGGGTAACTGCAGATAAAACGGTCGGTAGCGGCTGCGTTAGACAAAACATGTGCATTAGAACCATCAGAAATTGAAAAAGGAGTTTATAGCACAAATTACAATCAGTTACAAAATCCTGAAAAAGTCTCTCTTTTACATATAACGTACACAGAATGCTGAACAGAAACAGCCTAGAGTCCATCCATCCTTCCTTCCCTCCCTTTGCACTATAGTGCAATCTTGTTCTGCTCCTGAACTGCTACTTATGTTGAATAAGCAATTAAACATTAAAAAACCCCAAATCTGTTTATGTTACATAAATATTTTAAAGTCTTTCAGATGTTTGGTACACAGCTCCATTCAGAAGTCAAATTTACAAGAATTTATATACTAATTTCTTTTACTTACAACTGTGTTTGTCCAATTCTTCCCACTATCCTCATGACTCTCACACCTCTTACACCAACCCAGTGTAAGACCAGGTTGATGTTTTTTAATGGAGGAAAGTGTCAAAGAAATCAAGTCAAAGAATTTGGAGCTTATAAACACCATAATAAAACAGAATCTAAATGTGAAAAACATGCTGTTCTTTTTTAATAATTCATTGTTTTCTCAACTTCTGGCAAACTGTTATTTTCTTATACAACAAGGTTTGATCAATTACAGGACCAGGAACATATGAACACTTTAAAGGTTGAAAATACCAGATTTCATGCTACTATGGATATTCATATCAGATTAATAGCTTTTTGTTTCCTTTGAAAAAAGATAGACTTCAAAGCTTCCAAGTTTCCTTTTCATTTGTATGGTCCTTGGCAGGAAGTAACCCAAAGAATCTACTCCAATGGTCTACAAACTGGAGCTATGTAATAACTTTCCACTTCCATTACCTATTGCAAATATTCCCAGTTACACTACTACCTGCTCCACTTAATTCAGTGGCTAAACACAGATACCCACCCAGAGCATGCAGGGATGAACGTTTTATCTCTTATTATAAGAGGACAGTATGCCTGGCATCTATAGTCAGGAAGTGGAAGGGAACTGAAATTAGAAAGCCACTTGCTCTAAGCATACTAAATGTTTCTGAATTGCTCAGTTTCAGAACCACATTATTGAATACATGATGAGAACACTTACCGACTTCTATCTTCCACCTTTACACATGGATTTTTCAGTTTACCTGGACAAAGGGGAGAAAAGGAAATTAAGATATAGTTATTCATTCTGCAAGTTACTCTAGTAGCTGAACAAATAAGCAGGTATTGTTTTAGAACTCATTATATACATGTTTTGCCAAACACTTTATTTCCATTTCTTAGCCATACAAATCAGAACACAGCAGCACACTTGACCACATGAGTACTACAGAATATTTTCAAGGGTTCGGAATGTAAGGCACAACAAAAAAACTACAAATATTGAAATACTTACTTTTTGACTTTGGAGCAATAACCGGTCTTCCCTATGGAAAAACGAGAAAAGGTATAAAATCCCTGTGAATATTATTCTGCATTTTGTTAAAGATTTATCTGTAACTAATTTTAAATTATGTGGATCTCCTTGAATAAATCATGACTTCTCACACAGTCACAATTAATTTTGCAGGAAACTAAGCTCATTAGTACTTAAGAAATATGTTGACATGTTTCACAAAGAAATAGTTAATTCCACACTGCAAAAAAAAGTATTCTCCTTCAGATGTTTCAATTTATTTTCCCCAAAACCAAACAAAAAGCCCTCACAGGTAAATTAATTCACTTATTCTCTCTCCTCCTCCAGAAGACCTTGCCATGTTTGAAAGCTGATTCTTAGATACAGATAACCATTTTACAACACTTTATAAATGCTAATTATCTACAAGCTGTAAAATGCCACTAAAACTGCAGATAGCAACACAGATAGCAACATTCTCCAGTAAAAACAATTCCTGTAATTTGAATGAACTTATACAAGTGAGGGTTTGTTTGTTTGGATTTTGTTTTTTTTTAGCAATAAGGATTAAAAGGACTATGTTGTCTTTAGAAAAGAGTAAAGTCTACAGTCAAGCATCAGCTATTAGCTGTAATTGATTCTGGTAAAGGTACCAACTCGTACTTTAGGCTACGTGCAAAAACAATCCCCACCCTGCTATCCATAGACACTGATGATTTACCAGAGAATTGCATGCTGTCTCAATAGCCAATATTGAATTTCAAAACAACACAACCCCCACTAGATAGCATGCTGCCATTTACTTATCACAGAACCCTGCCTAGATAAGATAATTGCAAAACTTCATGTGTTTACTTTAAATTACAGAGCAACTGCAGATGGAACAGACAAGCAGCTAAAACATTTTCAGTGTATCTCTAGTATTATACACTAAAATCTGGAGAAATTGGGATTTTCACATGCTAACTGTACATTATTGACAGAATTGCTCACAGATGCTTTACACTTTTTCTTTTAAAAAACTAGGAAGGAAAAGATGCAGAGTTGAGCAACAGGCACAGATTCCCTAGAGAGTTTCTTCAGGAAATGTAACTGATTCTTTGAGATAGTCAGTCAAAAGTAAAGGGTTTCTAATCACTCTAATTATACAAGGCAATTTAATCACAATCTAGATCATACTAAAACTAAGCTACAATTTTAAAAATTATTATTATTTATTATTTTTGAGGCAGGCAGAATGGGAATTTCAGACAACTCACTACTTCTGATTCTTAGTTAGCCTTTGCAAGAGCAAAGGTCTACACATTACTTAATACTATGATCAAATTTATTTTTTAATAATACAGAAACATGTAGCTAATACCTTCTGTTTTTCAAAGATGGTTTTTAAATGAATTAATAAAACATACTGGTCTGTGAAAAACTGAACACGAGCAAGGCTTTATTAAAATAAAAGCTATAAGCTTCAGAGTTATGCAAATTTAGTACACTTGTGTTTTTTCAGTTAATTAAACAAATAGCATTTTTACAAATGGCAAAGAGCTACTTACCACATCTTTAAAAGAACTGCTTGCTCTTTTCATGAGGTAGACCTCCTTTTTCTTTTGTTCAATGTAGTTCTTAACATCTGGCAAAAAGAGGGGGAATGACACTCAGCTGAGTTTATTTTTGTATGTTTGAAGTAATTTGTCATTTTTAATATTCGGAATTAAATAAAAGAATAATTAAATCAATGTTGCAAGTTCAAGTCAGGTTTCATCAAAGAAGAATATTTACCATCAATATGAAGTATCTTTACTCCCCAGCTCAAAGCACTGGATAGTACACTACCAGAGGGGATTAAGTCCTGCAAACAATGATATTAAGATTTTTAAGCAATATATGAAAAATTGTGAAAATAACTACAAATATATTACAACATGTAATATGAAAGCTGAGATAAAAGTGCAGATGCCTCACTTTTTGCCAAAACACTATAGATTTCAACTGATTTTTCCGTCTTCAAGTCACAGCACTTTTATCACCTAAAGATTATATTTAGCTCTTCACACAGCCAAAACTCTATTATCACATTTTATAGCAAGATTTGATAACAATGAACTTACACCTTTCTTTTAACTTCACAAGCACTTCTCAAATGCTAGGTATACTAGCAATCTTGACAAATTATAATACTGGTCATAAAACTTCGAATATTTTCAGTTCTTCAGGAAGTACCCAGAAAACATGACCTGCCAGTTTTACTTAGAACACTCCCTCGACTTCTGACTGCGCATTCTTTGAGGGATTCCCTCTTACATCACTAAGACCACTCTTCCTGCTGCTTGTTTTCTAGAGTGCAAAGCCTAAGTTTCTCCAGCATGAATTCATTGATTGCTTACCTGCTCTTTGATTGCTTTTTCAACTAAGGATTTTCCTCTGCTCATACGTACCTGCATTAAAACAGAAACACATTTGTAGCATTTCAAAAAAATAAAAGGCAGCTTATATTGTTGCTAACAAGTATTTTATCTATTATAGTCTCCTTTTGTTCACTATACTGCTATTTCTCATTAATTAATATCTTCCTCACAAGGTTACAGCTGATACAGTCTGGGGGGAAAAAAGAAAAAACCCAACAAGTAAAAATTTTCAGCTAAAGCAGGTCACTGCATGGCTGAGGCAAGGTTAGTGCTGAAACATAGCCTCTGGGAGTAAGCAGACAGTGTTACATGACAAAGGATATGGTTTTGTCAAGTGGACTTGTGCCAAGTTAAGCTAACAGTCATTAATATAAGCACAGCCTCCATATCGCCATCTTTTGTATCACCAGTGCATCTGGTTTTGCACTATATGTTTAGTCATAATGTGTATGCCTTTACTTATGCAGGTTATTTGCAAAATGAGGTGATCTCATCTATGTGATGCAAAGACCAGCCTGCAGACTGGCTGCAGTCTGAGCAAGTACCACATATACAGAACAGCTAATTGTTTCCAACTGTTTTGAAAGGATGCAAGGCTTGCCCATCTGAGAAACTTCATGTAAACCTGCACAAATTCCAATGCTAATTGTTGCAATTAACATGAGCACCTAGGAAAGGGCTCAGAAAACACTCAGTATTCATAATGTTCAATTTTATTTCCTTCAACTACTATCAAGAAGTGTGCTTCTGTAGATACCTGCATTAACAACACCCTGGCAGCCAGATATTGGTAGGCTGTGTTGCTGAAGAGTTGGGAACCACTGGATGAGATGGCAAGCCTATCCATATTGATCCAGCTGTCAAAGCTAGCAATGTCAATGCTTAATTATACATCAGGCATACTACATTAGACCTGATTTTAGTGTGATCTTCTTATTTGCAGAAAAATAAGCTTTTGAAACTTTGCTTCATTAGGTTTGAGTTAGTTAAATTTAACAAGTTAACCTGAAATAGTTTAAAACTATGTTTGACCTATTGAAAAAAAAGATAAGCTAAAAAAACTCCATTATTCACCCAAGGAACTGTTGCCATCTTTATGAAACAAAATAGTAGAAAAATTTTAAAATCAGGTTGTACCCAATTTGCAATATTATCACTAAGAAACTTACTGTATCTACTATCTTAAATGAACTCCCATCACATCCATCTTTTCTGTTGCTAGGATGAGGTGAACTATTTCCTCCATTATGTGCAGATTCCGGGCTAGGAACAGGAGAAATCTGACCAAGAGTCGGTGTGAATTTTGCCTCCTTTTTACTAGACACCAGGTAGCTGATATCTTTACTAAGAAAACTCTCCACTTTCTAAATATAGAGACATAAAGTAATTATTTCAGGACAATAAATCAGTAACTCAATTTTACACTGCACACATTCAAGAAAAGTGGCAAAACTTCTGGAATAATTAAATTCAAAATAATGAATTAATGACAGATTATTTTTTAAAGATCTGGATGACAATTACAATTGACCATCTTAACAGTCAAAAATTCTAATATCTATTTCTTAATTTTTTAATCTCTATCAAAAGAGCTTTGCTTTGTTTCGATTATTAGCATTATTTTAACTAACTGTAACACTTTCCAAAGAGAATAATTCAAACACTGCATTGAGAAATAACAGAGTAATTAAATAAAAATAACATTTGTATAACAGAAATTACACAGAAGTGTTCAAGTAAGCTTTAAGGCATGTATATGCAAATATAGTTTACAGGAAGCTATAAATTTACTGAGTTTAGAACCAACAGAAAAAAGAAAATTTCAGACAGTTAACATGTTTCACACATACAGTATTCACAACACTTCTCTAAAATGGAGAAGATTTAAGTATCCTCATAACATTTTTAAACTCGGCAATACAAAATATATAAATTATCATATGCTTATTCTCTTCTATTTTGTTCCTTCAGTCTTTTGTTACCAACTGTTGTGTGATTATCAAGCCTATTTGTCTTGTTATTTCTTGCCAGTTTATGTAGCTTAAAATATTTTCCTCTTCTCCATTAATCAGGATGTAAAGTACAAATTGCACCAACAGCAAGCTTGAAACTGTGCCTTCCAATTCTGCTCTATGAACTTTTTACAGAAATGGAACATACAGAGAGAGGCACTTTTGAGTGCACTCCTCATAACAAAACACATGTGGTGGCTTATCTTGAGGGCCCAGGGAACCTCAGATTTAGGCATATATTCCTCCAGAATGAAAGAGAAAAAATTCATTTTCAGTCCTTGACTTGCAACCTTAACTTTCACGTATGAATTCCTATAATTCTGTCTTAGAAAGGCAAAAGATAGCATGCACTCCTTTAATGCTAAACATAAAGAGATGCATTGAACTTCAAACCATATGGTTAATCCTTGCCTCTACTATAATTTCAGACAGCATCTTGATTCACAAGCATCAGTTTCACTAAACTGTTCAGCACTCCTCTGAGGTTAAGTACTATTACCAAAACAATGTCCAGAATAGCTACCAATCTAAGCAGATCCCTTTTGCTTCTGTGGTTAAAAGCAGTTTAATACTTTAACTGTCAAGATTCCTCTATACTAACTCAAAATATTTAAGTGGACTAAATAATTGCCCTATTTGTGTGTTACTAAGGTATCCTGGTGCTTGTGTCAAACTGTTTCTTCCATACAAAAGGGAGAATTAGGAAAAAAAATTATTGAGATGCTTACAAAATTTATTGTTAAATGAGAATATTCAAAATTACTCATTAGCTTACTCGGTGTAGAAAGTACTTACTGAAGTTACTGACTTCCAATAAGCATACACAAAACTCTTCATTTAATATATCTTTCAGAACTGAACAACCTTAGTTTTAACACCTTAACATGACCACATATATCTTCAGAAGCAACAGAAAAATGACCTCAAACCCTGAAATTTACTACTCATTTGCTTGAAATTTCATCCAAATTGAATCAACGGAAAACAAACTTTCATAATAAACACTTCTGTTACAATTAGCAAAGCAGCCTCTAGCAAAAAACCCACAAAATAATTTGTTGATAAGCCAACTGTTCATACTAAACATGAGAGCACAAAAAATAAAATCGTGTCGTATATAAAATATAAGTAACATTAAAATGCAGTCACAAGGAACAAAGAAAAGGCATTACACATGCACATTTTCTTCCATTTACCTAAAGGTCTCTGCTCATTCACTTACCCCTCCTAGCTCTTTGAGGTCCTTCCCTATTTTTTCAGAGATGACATTTGATGGAATATCAAGGTAAAATACTTTTCCAGTGAGTGGCTTATATTTAAGATTCTCTGGTTCTCCTGTATCTTTTGTCACATTCTTCATAGCAGATCTTATTTTTTCTGTTTTTGCTTGCATTCCACCTGTTGCAAAAGAAAAGGGAATTTAAACACAACTGTGTTTTACTAATTGTGTTTATTTTTTTATTTTCCAAAACAAAAAATTCCTCAGTTATGGAAATGGACAAGACAAGCTTCCATGCAACAGAAGACTTCTTAAAAACAGCTATGTTAAACATGTCAAAACCAGACATTAATAACCACACCACATAGTTTCTTCTTAAAATCATATCCTAAAATAGCCTTTTTATTCCAGTTGCTATGTAAAGCCATCAAATTTCTCACACAGTTTGAGAAGTGTTTGCTGCCTCTGTACCACAGTATATATACATATCCTGTCACAGTCACTGACAATCACAGGAAGACCATTTTAGAACAGAACCTCTAACATTAATCTGAAACTGAAAGGATTCATATAGACTCTTTAGAACAAAGAACAGGCAAAAGTTAACTGAAACGTCAAGAAATACAAGATCTCTTATGAAGACAAAAACACAACACGCCAATCAGTGCCTCTGGTCTTAGATGGAAGGGGGTGCAGAACCCCCACTCATGCTGCAAGACTCTAAGCAATGGTTATCACCACACCTAAGTGAAACAGGAACAGCAGCCAGTTCTGTAAAATCTAGCAGTAAAAATACATTAAGGGAAACAGGAAACGCAGAGGGATAGGACAGTGTAACTGATTCAGAATCAGCCCCAACAGTAACAGTCTAAATACTGCAATTAATATTGCAAAATACAGATCCAACTTCTAAGGAACAACCCACAGCTGGCGGTGAGGCAGCAGCCCCGCAGTGCCCGCGGGGCCCCAGCACGCAGCAGCCGCACCCCGGCACACAGACACCCCGGCACACAGACAGACACCCCGGCACACAGACAGACACC